CCAGGTGACGGGGCAGGGGAGACGGCCGTCAGAATTTCCTAATTAAGTCTATTGCATCCAAGTAGCACCCACGTAGGAGAGCATTGCTCTAACCATGTTAGCATTGAAACAAATACAACATAGAAACTGGGAGATTATTTTCCTTATATGGATGGAAAGTAATCCAGGAGAGAAGCAACCTGGAACTAAGGAGGAATTTCCTGACAGTGAGAACAATTAACCAGTGGAACAACCTGCCTCTAGAAGCGGTGAATGCTCCAACACTGGAAGTTTTTAAGAAGAGACTGGACAGCCCTTTGTCTGAAATGGTGTAGGGTTTCCTGCCTGAGCAGGGGGTTGGATTAGATGACCTCCAAGGTCCCTTCCAACTCTGTTATTCTATTCTATTCTATTCTATTCTATTCTAGTCTAGTCTAGTCTAGTCTAGTCTAGTCTAGTCTAGTCTAGTCTAGTCTAGTCATTATTCTATTCTATTCTATCCTATTCTATTCTATTCATTATTCTATTCTAGTCTATTCTAGTCTAATCTATTCTGTCCTTTCTCTATTCTATTCTATTCTATTCTATTCTAGTCTAGTCTAGTCTAGTCTAGTCTAGTCTAGTCTAGTCATTATTCTATTCTATTCTATCCTATTCTATTCTATTCATTATTCTATTCTAGTCTATTCTAGTCTAATCTATTCTGTCCTTTCTCTATTCTATTCTATTCTATTCTAGTCTAGTCTAGTCTAGTCTATTTGCTATTCTATTCTATTTGCTATTCTAGTCTTTATTCTATTCTTTGTTTCTTCTCTCTTCTCTTCTCTTCTCTTCTCTTCTCTTCTCTTCTCATATGTTGAAGATTACCTTGTCAAGCGAGTTATATTAGAAATGAGTTTATTCTTTCTAGTAAATGATAGGTGGCTAATTACAAGCCTTCATTTCAATTATAATACTGTTGTAATAGTAAAAGGCAAAAGGAGAATTACAAACTCTGGGGAATTCTTTTGGCTGTTTAAAAATTTGGCTTAATGTCTATATTTATTAAGGACAGCAGCACACACAAAAAAAGAATGCTCTTTTATCTGAACACGGAATTAAATCACAATAGTAATTAGCATCAGAGAAGTAATTTAATCCTTAAGAATCTACCCTTAAATATGGCCAAGTGAGAATTCCTTAAACATCCAGTTATTTGCTGGATTATGATGATGATGATGATGATGATGATGATGATGATGATGATGATGATTTATTTGCATAATAGCTGGGGTCTTACTAATTAGGGGCTATGGTGGCAAACTACAAAGATAAAAATATAAATAGTCGATATGTGCCTAAAAAACGATCAGTATGAAGCATAATATTCTGGGAAGTTGACTGTCCAGTCTCTTCTTAAAAATCTCCAGTGATGGAGCACCCACAATTTCTGGTGGCAAGCTGTTCCACTGGTTAATTGTCCTCATTGTCAGGAAGTTTCTCCTTAACTCCAGGTTGCTTCTCTCTTTGGTCAGTTTCCAACCATTGTTTCTCATCCTGCCCTCTGGCGCTTTGGAGAATAATTTGACCCCCTCTTCTTTGTGGCAGCTTCTGTTCACAAAATTGTCTTTGCTTGTATTTAGTTGACCTGCTGAATTGTGTTACGTGCCCATCATCAGGGATTTTCTGCTAGTTTTATATTGAAAAAGCCTTCTTCACCACTTGGTGCTCAAATGTTATCCTGGCCTCCCACCTTGTGGTGAAAACAGAAATTAGCACAGCTAATTACAGTTTTAGAGATGCCGAATGGGAGGGACCTCGGAGGTCTTCTAGTCCAACCCCCTGCTCAGACAGGAGGCCTATAACATTTCAGACAAATGGTTGTCCAGTCTCTTCTTTAAAGCCTCCAGTGTTGGAGCACCCACAACTTCTGAAGACGACTTGTGTTCCACTGGTTAATTGTTCTCACTGTTAGGAAGTTTCTCCTTAGTTTCAGGTTGCTTCTCTCCTTGATTAGTTTCCACCCGTTGCTTCTTGTCCTGCCTTAAGGCGCTTTGGAGAATAGCTTGACTCCCTCTTCTTTGGGGCAGCCCCTGAGAGATTGGAGCACTGCTATCCTGTCCCCCCTCGTCCTTCTCTTCATTAAACTAGACATACCCAATTCCAGCAGCCGTTCCTTATATGTTTTAGCCTCCAGTCCCCTGATCATCTTTGTTGCTCTTCTCTGCACTCTTTCCAGAGTCTCAGCATCTTTTTTACATCGTGGTGACCACAACTGGATGCAGTACTCCAAGTGTGGCCTTACCAAGGTACTATATAGTGGCACTAGTACTTCACATATCCCCTCATCTAAAATGTTTATGGAGTTGTTTGAAGACTAAAGTCCCCAAGACAGAACTTGAGGTACCCCACAGGCATAGATGTGGTGAGTTCTAGTTCTGCTTTAGGCATGAAATCCGACTGGGTGACTTTGGGCCAATCACCAGGAAACGGTGAGTTCTAGTCCCGCCTTAGGCATGAAAGACAGCTGGGTGATTTTGGACCAATCACCAGGAGATGGGGAGTTCTAGTCCCGCCTTAGGCATGAAGGCCAGCTGTGTGACTTTGGGCCAATCACCAGCAGACGGTGAGTTCTAGTCCCGCCTTAACCATGAAAGCCGGCTGGGTGACTTTGGGCCAATCACCAGGAGACGGTGAGTTCTAGTCCCGCCTTAGGCATGAAAGCTGGCTGGGTGACTTTGGGCCAATCACCAGGAGACGGTGAGTTCTAGTCCCGCCTTAGGCATGAAAGCTGGCTGGGTGACTTTGGGCCAATCACCAGGAGACGGTGAGTTCTAGTCCCGCCTTAGGCATGAAAGCTGACTGGGTGACTTTGGGCCAATCACCAGGAGACGGTGAGTTCTAGTCCCGCCTTAGACATGAAGGACGGCTGGGTGACTTAGGGCCAATCACCCGGAGACGGTGAGTTCTAGTCCCGCCTTAGGCATGAAGGACGGCTGGGTGACTTTGGGCCAATCACCAGGAGACGGTGAGTTCTAGTCCCGCCTAAACATATCCAGCTTCCTCCTTTGAGTTGGCTTGTCAGAATCCAGCTGAGAAAGTCGCAAATGGTGATCACATGACCCTGGGAAATGGTGGTGGTCATAAATATATGTCTGTTCCAGAAGTGTCTGAATTGTGATCACGGAACTGTGCGAGTGGTGCAATGGTTGTTAACTGTGAGGACAATCCTTTTTCAGTCCCACTCCAAATTTCTTAGTGTAAAGCAGCAGTCTCCAAACTTGACAAGTTTAAGACTTGTGGACTTCAACTCCCAGAATTCCCCAGCCAGCCAAGTCATGAAGGGGCCATAGTTCCCCCATGCTGGCTGGGGAATTCTGGGAGTTGAAGTCCACAAGTCTTAAAAGTTGCCAAGTTTGGAGAGTGGCTGGGGAATTCTGGGAGTTTTCTTTAAAGTTGCCGGGTTTGGAGGCTGGCTGCGGAATTCTGGAGTTGAAGTCCCCAAGTCTTAAAAATTGCAAAGTTTGGAGAGTGGCTGAGGAATTCTGGGAGTTGAAGTCCGCAAGTCTTAAAACTTGCCAAGTCTGGAGAATGGCTAGGGAATTCTGGGAGTTGAAGTCCCCAAGTTTTAAAAGTTGCCAAGTTTGGAGAGTGGCTGGGGAATTCTGGGAGTTGAAGTCCCCAAGTCTTAAAAATTGCAAAGTTTGGAGAGCCTTGGTCTAAAAAAACAACAACTGGATTTGTTTTTCCAGATAGTGGCACGATGTTTGCATCTAAATGAATTAATTTGGGGGGGGGAGCTTAAAGAATGAGTTCACAGACAATTTTGGCTCCTGGTTCTGCTGTTTTATTTTATTTTTTTTCTCGATTTGTACAGCTGTATTTTTACAGAATGCATTAATGCAGTTTGATGTAGCCCAAAAACCCTGTCACCGAGATAGGACTGATTGTAACACAAATGTATAAAATGAGGCCAAATTATCGTATTTCCTTTTTTTCTTAAAAAAAAAAGAAAAAAAAAGAGAGAACAAAACAGACTTTGCTTTATTTTATCCGGAGTTCGCCCGGAGTCACTCCCTCTTTTCACAATCCTTAAAACCGTACCACCCGCCGGGATTCAGTTTTGTCGGAAAAACAGAAAGGCACTGTGAAAAAAACCAAAAAAATAATATTTCCCCCCAACGAACATTATACATATATTTATATTTATATTTATATATATATATATACAGACTGGAAAAAAAATACACTTTATATTATCTTAAATTCCTTCTGCAGCTTTAGTTTTTGTTTATTTTAATACACGCTTTGCTTTTTTTTTTTTTTTTTAAATTTTAAACCTTCACTTGCAAAAAAATACAAATACACACTCAAGGCTCTTAGACAAAATATTTGCTCACCGAGACGGATGCAGAATTTTTTTTTTTGTTTGTTTTGTTTTAAAATATCTTGTTAAGTGCTTCTTTTTTCTTTCTTTCTTTCTTTCTTTCTTTCTTTTTTTTTTTTCCAATGGTGGCTCTCTTTAGCCCCTGCCTGCAGAGACTAAACACAGAGACTTCAATGCATTTATACATATACATATATATATATGTATATATAATATCTTTTAAAGGCACACACACACACATATATAAATGCATTTTACATATATGTGTGTGTGTCATTTATTTATATATATATATTTATATATATATACATACACACATATATGTATATATATTTCATATATCTTCATCTATTTACAATTCCGACATAATTTTCTTCACCTTTGGTTAAAAAGTTTAAAGCCCCCCCCTCCCCTTTCGTATCCCTTATACAATCTCTTTCTCTGTTGTGAAACACACACACACACACACACACAACTTTGCATAAAAAGATCTACGCTTCGTTCCCGTAAAAACGATGTACATTCCTCAATTTCTGCCTGCGGGGTGGGGGACGGGTTTTCGACAGTTCCCCCCTCCCCGCAGACGTTGTAAGAAAGGTCGTTGACCCTCTCTTCCGCTTGCACATACACACACACGCACACGCGCACACATGCC